AAGCAAGTTGAGACGGAGTACTTCTACAAGCTGAAATGATTTATTTCCTCAAGCAAAGAATTTATCTTCTAGATTATGAGACTACTTTCTCAAATTTAGGTGAAGTTTTGATACATAGGAATTTTTTATCTAAAAAATCAACTTTCATATTTTCATCACTCTCCATGTGATGTATTACAACAATATTTGATGTACTATAAGGAGTAGCTTCAACATTATGATTAAAGTAGCTTTCTAAAGTTCTTTGTATCAATTCATAAACCATCACAACTTTGTAAAATTTATTTAGACCAACAAATAATGATTCTTTATCTTAAATCATTCAGGATATTATCTACTAGCCAAAGCGTCGAGAAGAAATATAATTTTCAATTTGATTTTTTTATTTGTTTAAAAAGTTAAACTTCATTAATGAATGGCAATCATCAACCAAAAGATGTATAAACTCTCCAAGCTTATTGCATAGTTGTAACTACAAGGATAATTTCACTTACAACCTTCATAAACCAACTTTTTGCTCAGTAGGAATTGAAAATACTTCAAAATAAGAGTGTAAATTTTTTTTAAAAAATATCTTGTTACACTTTTTTGCTTAATCGCTTTCTGAAATCTTATAAACTTCCTTTAATCTATATCTTTTTTCATTGTAATCATATTCTCCTTGCAAGAACAAAGTGAAAAAACTACTCTTCAAACCAGAAAAGCATGTAGTTTATATTTTGATGCAGTCTCTTTGGAGATGAAATTCTACATCATTAAATGTGAATAATCCCTTTGTTTGGCTCTCAAAAACATTCACATCCATAATAGTTTATGAAACCACGTTATAATATGATATATTATAATAAATCATATGAAAAAAATTGTGGATGAAAACGATTGGGTTGAAAAAAATGAAATATGAAAAAAATTTTGTTTTAGAATCATAATGAAAGCAGAACAATTTATTTGCATATAAATGGCAATGTGCAAAGTACGTGTTAAATCATGATGAAAAGTTTGAGTGATATTTATCTACTAATCATTGTAATATATAAGCTGCAATTATTAATATTATTTATGGAAAAATCATCCATTTCATTCACATTTTTTTTGCCAATCAAAATCATCTAAGCCTCAATAAAACTTGTTGAAACTTATTATGAAACAATTCATACAAAAGTTTCAAAATTTATGATACTCATAACTAGTATTGGAGTCACAACCCTTATATACCTGCCCCAAACTATGACAAAGAGTCATGTCTATGAACATGTATGAAGACTATATATTCAAGTCAAATGATTTTGAATCGACTCCTACAAAAGCAATACATCTAGTGTTTGCCAAAGCTTAAAGATCAACTTGAGTAAAATAGCAATGTGACATTAACAATGGACGGATGAGAAGTAGTTTCCAAAAACTTGATTTATCAATCAACCATCAAAAGTCTCTTTGGCAATTGACAGATGGAAAGATGACTCCAGCAACTTGATTTATCAATCAACCAACAAACTTCTTTTTGTAATAAAAGCAATCGTACCCATTGTTTGCAAAATTTAAACTACAATGAGGAATTTGAATTATAATTTTCCTGGCTCAGATTCAAACATTGTACGCTTGCGTTGTTGTTTCTTTCAATTTAATTTGATTACATTGTACATGTCAGTTGGTAACACATTATGCAAACAATTTGACTTTTAAAAAAGTTTTACTATTTGATAAAGTTCAAGGTATGGAATAAAAAAACAAAATTTATAAGATTTTGTCAAATTTCTTTTAAAACAAGACTTTTCTCAACAATATTTGAATTTCTTAATGTCACATCATATCGTAATTTTTTTTTACATTGCGTGGACAAGTAAAATCTAGCCATCAAGCCATCAATTAACAAGTACATTTCTAAGTTGGTGGATTACAATTACCATTATGTGATCAACAAGAAGATCAATAAGCTCATCAAGCCCATCGTTAAGAGTATTTTTTGTCCTTAGCAAAGCTCCATCATATCAGATCAAGTCTTTGTTGAGCGCATCAAGCTATACACAACTATAAAGTACGCATACGTTAAAAAAAACTATATCAACTTCAAGATCCACATCATCAATATTGTACAAAAGATAGCTTATGAGTTTGATTATACAATATATTTTGTAGCTTTAGTCTTTTAATATCGTAGTACCAAGTTGTTTTCATCGGAAAATATATAAACACAATAACATTTGGAAATATAATGCAAACTTGCCGCACAAGTAAAGTCCATCAAAATGTATACAATCTTAGTGCTCGCAAAATTCAATGAATACATCAACTATAGTGAGGTATTAAAAAACAATTCAAATAAAAAAATTTTAAATTTTTTTTTGGCAATCTATTGTCAATGCAAAGACTTTGCATGCTTTTGTAATTATTATTTTTCATTTTTATTTATAATGCCAAAGTGAAACGAGCATTTGCAATAAAAAATAATTTCATTACTCTTCATAATCCGCTATGAAACAATTGTTTTTGCAGCTTTCATAATTAAGATAAATCTGCAGTTGCATAACAATTAAACACATGAATGTATTTTTCATTGTTACATACAAACTTTAACTTCATTTCAAGTTATCGTGAACTTCATATGCACTATTCGCACTATAACATATCATTTAGCATATCACTTGAAGAATGTGAAAATTTCAATGTGGAAACAGCTTATAAATTAACTTTCAAAGATTCATAGCTTATTTTGCACAATAATTATGATTTTTGTGAAGAATTTAACATGTTTCTTTAATTTTGCTAGATTCTAACAAAATTTGTTTTTTTTAACTCATTGCAGAGGCAGTTGAGACATAGGCAAAACTAAATGAAGAAGATGAAATGTATATGATTTGTTGTCTTGGAAATTTAATGAAGATGTCACGACATACAGTCAAGGTCAAGGAACTAAATAACGTGTATTAAGAAAATATGTTGTTTGTAGGTGTTACGCACGTGATCAGATTCATGGAGCATGCTCTCTAACTTTGATAAACACTATGCACATATATTGAAAAAAATTGTTCTGATTCTAATTTTACTCAAAACTTGTTATAAGTTTTTGTTAGTGACTTACAACAAAACTTTAGACACTTTGAAACTTGAGACTTGCAAAAAGTTATTGTCGAACTATTTTCTCAAAAACTTACAAAATTATGTGAACACCTGAGATTGATGTATTCTTAAATAATTGAATTAACAAAATGTGTTTTGTTTTTCTAATGAAAATCATTTGTGACTTTTATGTAATAGAAACAAATACTCTAACGAGATCAATAAAATTGTTGTCAATGTCAAGAGTCAACATACTCTTTGTGATATAGTAGTCATAGATATTGAAAGTATATCAAAAAAACTTGTCATTTAAAAAAATCATTATACTCTTCACAATATTGTATTAACAAATATTGATAAGGGATCAAAAAAAGTTGGTCATTTTCAAAAATAATTATTTTCTTCATAATATGACATTCATAGATATTGGAAGAAGATCTTGTAAATGTAATTTATTAATGTTATGAGATACTGGATGTGCTAAACAATCTAATGTTTGCAACAATCACGATTTTGACATCCATGATGATCTTCATCAAAAAACAATCTAATTAAGATGATAAATGCAATTGATAATTAAAATACATAAATTATACATATGCATATGAAATATATAGAAAATTTGTGCATTCATACATATTAGAGCTTCATGTTTGATGGAAACAAAGTTTATAATGTTAAAATTTATCGATGATGTCTTTTTATATAGAAACTTTTTTTGAAATTTAGCATTTAAGAAAACATGCTTTATGATATTATATTGTTTATTTTCAAGCTATATGTAATTCACATAATAGTAACATGAAATTGTGATGATTTATGGAGACATGTGTAACGACCATCTCATGTAGAAATTGAAATAAAATTATGATGTCTTATGGAGACATGTAAAAATCCATGTCAAATGAAATGAAATTGTGATGAACCTTTGTAGATGAAACTTACCGTTATGTAAACATGAGTAAAAAAATATATCCCAAATGAACTTGTTAAATTGGTATGAAAACATGCCAATTAACATACTAAACGAGATGAAATTGTCGTGGAAACATGCCAATGAACATCACAAATGAAATGAATTGTGGACTAAACATTCAAAATACAATGAAATTGTTATGGGTGTTAGCAGACATAGGAAACAGAAAACCTATATAAGTGTTACGGCTCTTGGTTCGTGAACCTATACATGCTTAACAAACATTTCAAATGAAATGAACTTGATGAGTCACATTGCCGTACTTTCTCATACATTTTTCAAAAGCGATGAAAAAGTTACGTAAATTGCATAAAAAAAGGGGAAACTTTTTAAGAGGAGCGCAACTAGCGGCAAATGAGAATATTTTAATTTGAAAAGGGTGTGCTGCTTAAAGACTAGGTCATGCTATTTATTTTGAAAGCTACATTAGCTTTTGTCATGTGAGAGAGGAGAATATGGAACGAATGTATCGAAATATAATAAAATGTATATTTGTTCTTTTAGTCTAGCAAATACGTAGAGATATAATACACTTGTACACGAGAGAATACACAATATACATCGGACAGTATACATTAGACCTCATGGTATCACTCAATTTGGGTTATTATTTAGCCGAATTGAATAAACGTCTTTCCAACTCTAGAGGTACGAAAAGAATTGGATGGTGAAATCCGGTTCTCTCTATCTACACCAGAATGCTATTTTGTTTGAAGATAGGTCCGATATCTTAGATGCATATTTCCCATTGTGCTTCTATTCGAACCTGGCACCATCTTACACCATCTCATCGTCATCCCATCCCTTTTCTTATTTTAGTGTATGCAATTTAAGTAGATAGACAGGTGTTAAGGCCTATAGCGAAAAATGGTAGGCTCGACTCTGCGTTCACAAACTTATTGCCCATTTTCTCCGAGTCGAGGAGCTCTACCAAACGCTTCCAGAATCCTCAGCTCCAAGAGGTTTCGGGATTGAGGATCAAGTTAACGGATGAAGTTACCACAGTGAGAAGAAAGCGGAAGAGTTAGGACAGAGGACGGGCGGAGAGGCCAAGGGAGCATGGACAGTGGATCGAGGCTTTCTGTTCGCCATCAAAGCTTCCGCCAATGAGTCTGCGGCCTTCTCATTGAAGAGCGCCCGACGGAGCGTGGAGCGTGACAGAGCCCCGAGAAATCATCTGTCGGTGTTTGTGCTTCGCTTCGCTGCTCGATTTGCAATTTGCGAGTAATCTGTCTGTCAACATGGCGACCACGGCCACCGTGAGTGCAATGCTTTCGGCATCCGCTTGTAATCTGCTCCATAGACGAGGTGAGCATGAATTCTGCATGGGTCGGGAAGATTGAAAATTCCTTGGATTGGCTCGTGCCTGGAGATTCGTCTGTGATTTGTTTGGCGCTGGGGCCAGTTCTTCGATTGGACTTGAGACCTGGAAATCCCGAGGTTGCAGCTCGTAATGTTACTCTCTGTAGCATTTTCTGTTGGCCCCGCCCTGCACGAGCCCTCCTCTCCGGTTGGCATGCCAGGCTCTGCGTACGCGGGATTGGACGCTTTCTTTCTCACTCAGTGGCTCTCAGTCGTCTTGTTTTGATGATCGATACTTTGAGGACTTGTAAGCGAGGCCACAAATCGTTATGTAGGCTGGCTACTGTTGCAATGAGGTTTCAATCGTTGTGTGTCAACGTCGTGTGCCAGTGGCAGTGATCATGTGGAGGTTTGGTTAGAGCGCCGAACCGAGTAGAGCTTGGGTTCCTTGGTGCAGTCAAAAGCACTCCTTTTATCTGAGGATGACGCTTTGTTTGTAGTTAAAGGCTGAGTTAGAGATCTTCCATGGATGGATTAGCTCTATCTTGCTGGTTTCTACGACGGCCGTGACAGAGCTGCTACTCAATAGCTCCTATTCTGCCTAACTTTGGCCAATTTAAGCTGCTTGGCCACTTTTCCAATGGTCTACGTTGGAACAAGATCGCCTCGTTTCGTCGAGGCAGTCGCTGGTGTAGCTCGAGTTTATGACTTAGGTAGGTAGTACAATTCATCTCTTTTACTTGAATTTTTCAAGAACAAGATGGAGTAACGTCTTGAATCTTTAAGTTTGGTCACCTCATGGTCAAAACAACATACGAGCTTGACCTAGAACCTCGCCCACAGGCAGGATTGATTATAATCGTGTGGCAGTCGCTCGCTGCATCTTTGTCAATCAGCGCTGCTTCTGTTCATACTTTATTTTTCGTATTTTTCGCATCAGGATATCGGTACCTTAAGTTTCCTCATCCTTTTGGTTCGAGCACTTTTCTAAGTCGGAAAGAACGCCCAAAATTATTGATTATCATAAGTCAATAACGACCTTCTTGTACTGCATTCAAGATCACAATGTCAATATCTCAATGTAACTTACATATTTTGTTCGTGCTGATCATGTTACACCTGAATTGATCTTCAATCGGATGTCTGAACCTGGACAGGTGCAGGGTGAACCGTGCACTCAGTATATTTTATTTGTATGCCCATACGTTTTCGAGTCTTTGCCTTCCCGAGGCTGCTGTGGTCGTCTCTAATGTTGTGGTTCGAGTTCTGGATGCATGATGTGCTAAGGCCACTGTCTGCTGTTGTAATTTGAGACAGCGAGTGGACATAGCAAAACATGCGTACTGAATTAGTACCTTTGCAGAGAACGTGAGAGCTATTTGGATAGAGTATATCCTCACACTTTATTGTTTGTTCTATCACCAATTTTGGATTTGAGACCATATGCTCAATGCTGGATCGAGGATTAGTATAAAACTCACTATCTTGTTCCGTGTGTACAAAAATCCGATTTGGGTTGAGCTCAAATTGCTCATCGGCACGCCAATGACGTCAGTCGTTAGCGGTATTGCCTTAGTTCCCATCATATATTAGTCCACATCGCACGTAATAGTAAAATTACTACGTGCGTTGGTATAATTGGTCAAGGCCGGTTTAATGTAGTTGCAGGACCCTTTTTAATCTCATCTTCTGGAGTATGGTTTATCTTTCCGCCACCATCTCGTTCTTGGTATTTACTATCTGCGAGTGTTTTTTGCTCCGAACTATGACTTCCCAGCTCAACGTTTGTAGTTAGCTCGATGGCTTCGTTCAGACACTTAGACCACGAGTTTTGCGCTATCAGCATTCTATAATGCTAGATCATGAAGTTTTTCATCTTTGGAGATCCCGACCTTACTTCGTGAGATTCGATATCGTCGATTAGTTATATTTTTCTTCGCTGGATAACGTGGATGATGTTGGATACATGGTGCTCTCGTCTGCAAAGGTATCATATTTAAGTATTTACATTTGAATCGATGACGAGGAACTGAAATAAAGCAGCGGAACACCTACTAAATCGTCATACACTACCGGGTGTGGACAGAACTTACATGCGAATCGTAGGCTAACGTTACTGAATTGTACGACAAGGAGTGTTAGCCAAATTGTCACGGATGTTCTTCCACGTCGTCACAGGTTTATGTAAAGTGGGCTATCAAAGCAATATAGGTAGAGGCAAGTGAGGAATGAAGTGGCATTGATTCAGAAACCTACACATAGTTTGAAAAATACTATCAGTGTTGTATTTACCTGAAAGATTCATAAACCTGAAGTATATCTCTAAGCTTTTGACTTCGTTCACATGCAGGTCTTGAGTCTTCGAGCTCTTCTCAGATATCTTTGGCGGGAATTCCAAGCGGTCGATCACTGGCAACCCGTGTTAATGGGAGGGTTGTTCCTCAATATGGACAGCAGTATCCCAAACGCGGTCTAGTCGTCTATGCTGACTACAAGTGAGACGATCGTTCTTGTTTTCTTACAAAAAGTTGTGTTTAGAGACTGAGTTTATTTTCACACGTATATGTACTGATTTTAGGTACACCTGGCGATGTCTTTAATGGCTTGAATTGTTTTGAAACTTCAGTGGCCGAAGAGGAGGTGGTGCAGGTGATTTCGTTGCTGGATTCTTGCTTGGGGGTGCATTGTTTGGAGCTATCGGTTATTTGATTGCACCAACGGTAGGTTATTTGGCTCTGTAGCTAGTTTCGTTTTTGTAATCATACAACTTTGTATAGAGGGATGTGCTCTATGTTTCACTTAATGCACCAACGGGGAAGATGGCAGATGTACATAGCGAGCTGCCACCTCATGCACATCGTTCTTTTCAAGCTTGCCTGTTTGGATCTCTCACCTGATGGTTGGAATTTTTCTGTTCAGGTGAACAAAACCCTCGCAGCAGCAGCGGCAGCCGAGAAGGAAAAAGAGGATGTGGAGGATGAAGGCCCACCAAAGAAGCTCCCCAAGTATTTGGAAGACGACGAGGGACTTGAGGTACGCACTCAGAGTGATCCGCACTTTACGAAGCTTCTAACGTCTGTGGAAGACGATGAGGGACTCGAGGTATGAATGATTCGTGTCATGTCCTTCTGACAAATTATGTACACTGCAATATTTAATTTCTTCTTTTGAGCAATTTGCGGATATGCGTTTTTGATTGTCCTGAAAGTATCAATGAAGCACAGATATAGGATTCCAGCATACCTTTCTGGCTAGTGGTATAAGCTATAATCGTGCGTGGGATCGGGTCTTTTGTACATTAGTCTAGCATATTCCAGCTCTGACAAGAAAATGGGCAGGATCAATGCTCGTGTGAATAGACTGTGCTTAACAACATTTTTTTGTGAATCAGCAGAAGACAAGGAAAAGTCTCAATGAGAAGATCGCTCAGCTCAATGCCGCAATCGACGACGTGTCTGCCCAGCTAAGAGCAGAGGAGGGGGCATTCAGCAATGTCAATGATTCTGCTGTGGAACTTGAATCGGCTGCTTGATTCTACCAATGTGAGATTATCTTATAGCTGTCAACCCACCAGAACTGGGAAGTAGTAGGACTTAATTCATGGTCATAAGAGTTAACCGGGTTGCACCTTTGCAATATCGTTAGTGAAAAAGTCAGTCTGCCCCTGTCCCTTATATGTCTTGGAAGTTTCTTACTTGTAATCACAGTCTCGGGTCCTCCCTGCCGACACGTTGACCGCAAATGTCTGCGAAGCATTTTGGCAATGTGTACTGCATCGAAAACTAGTTTAGGTAGCCTTGACGTATTGTCTATCAGGAAGCACCTGAGATGGCTACGGAGTTTGTACTCCTGAAACTCCATCATTATAGCAAAGAGAACTGCACGTGGGATCCCGTAGAGCTTTTTGTAAAAATCAGGCCATTCAGCTTGAGCCATACAAATTTCAAGTGGGAGGCGAAGTTCAACTCTCTGCTATGCCGCCCGGATGCATGCTGCTGGACGAGTTTGGGAGTAACTGCAGCTTAGTGCCAGGCTCAAATGTCCACAGATTCGGTTCATAACATTTCGTATGCTCTCTGTAGAAAATTGCGGTTACTCTCCCTTTCAGACGACTATTTTGGGCTTCATCGCGGTTGCTATGTTGATTCAGAGTTGCTACAAGGTTGCCTATGCGCCAATCATAGTTCCGTGCTTGAATGGAAATCAGAAATTACGCCAAATACTTTGTTCGCAGCCAATGAGCTTTTGTGCGCGTGCTTGCTGACGTCCTCCAGATATTATGATGGTATCATTTTCGACTTTAGCGTTCTGCATTTTCTGTTGTAAAGCCCTTATTTGTAATACCGCCTACATCTACGCATAGATTGATTCTTAGGTCTGCACTTGAGTCTGGGTTGACCACTGATCGAATAAACTGCGCCGAAGTTCAATCTGATTTCGTTCGAACTTCACTCTTCCACGCGGGTGCAATTCAAGGGGTAGTGTTGCGCATTTACGGAAGGAAAGAAGCTCTCGACGAGCAGAAGGCACGACTATGCAAGTCATGAGTGTGTCATAACTAAAGTCATCAAGTGATACAAAGGTCGAAGACGGGAAAGGGCAATAAGCAGGAAACAGACGAACACCGAGGAGTTCAAGTCGGAAGAGGCCCTTACGGGAACGCAATGGCAAACTTGTTTTATTGTATGTAACATACGTCAGTTTTTATTCGTGGTTTACGGTTTGCGGGAGTATGTTGACATATAGGAATGGACTGCATCGTTTTCCGTCACGTGTACAACACCCAACATGAGAGGGAATGTGTACTTTGATTGTAGTTTTCAAAGAATGGTAAAAGGAACTATATACGTAGACAGTGGATACACTTTGGAAGAAAATATGTAAATACGATGTAATTTTCATACAAGGGACTATAAGTATTCAAATCAAGTGCATTACTTTGTGTTCAATGACCAAAATTTCATCAAATTATAAATAATTTACCGTAATCATACTATGAAATGTGTTCAAAATATATTATACAGTCTAATTTCAGCAATTGTTACTTTATCATTGCAATATCACTTACGATAATTATATAAAGGTTAAAAACCTCTCTAGGAAAGGGAACATGACGATTTCAATGCAAAACCTACAAATTGGACATCACATTTCTACCGCGTAGCAATGAGTTACCTGATCGTGATTTCATCAAGGCTGACAGGAAATAGAAGTTGGAAGTTTGCACGTCTAGGATGTTTTCGGAGCATATTTCGCAGCTTTCACATGAGGCTGTGCGTTGGCAGGTAAGTAATAGCTTTGAGATTAGAAGCAAGTAGAATAGATGTGTCTCACACAGTTGATCTGCACAGGAATAACTTTCGCCAAATATGTTCCTTGACCAGCTTTGGAAACACTCAGGGAATGAAAGACACGTCTTAGGAGACTAGTCAGATTTGAAGAGAAAAAGTGAATGATTTCATTGACAAAGCTTTCTCTAATCGAGACATTGAGTTTTTCTTTAGCAGCACAAGAAGTTCAAGCCGCCGTTCTCTGTGTAAGATTCGGTAGGTTCAGACCATCTTGCCTTTCTTGTCTAACATCATGCTCCGAAGCTCAAATATCTGGGCTTGCGCGGTTCCTATCTTGCATGTAGTGGGTCGTTAAGTGGAGACATAAACACGAAGATGCAACCAACAGAATCTACAAATATATACGTGCCTTCGTCCTGTTCCAATGACAGGTGGATGCTGCTTCTAACTTCCTTAGAGCTGGTTTTCTCTTCCATAGCGCCGTATTTGGAGATTTATCAAACTGCATTCAGAATTTCAAATCTTCATCACCCTCTTACGCATTTAAAGTGGATAAGGTGGAATTGCTGACTGCTTTTTGTGCTCGGCAATTTTACGTGTCGCTGTACACAGCAGAACAAACGTCTGGCATTTTCTATCGACCACACTCGTGGGGATTCCCATGGGAAATCTTTGATGGTGGAACTGAACTTCCCAACAAAATGAGAACTTCTAACAATGCTTCTTGTACTCTGGATACGACAACAGCCTCTCCAACTCTCAGCATAATAGAAAGAAAGAAGGCGTAAATCGACACCGCAGTGAGACATATCAGAGTATCGAGACGGGAGCAGATAACACTAAAGTCATCCGAAAAGGAGAATCGTGGGAACTACTGTGGAAGAAGATGAAATCCTTGATGGAATTCCAGATTCATGGCGAGACGTCAGACCAATATCCAGCTCAACAGTAAGTCAGATTTCCTGGTGTCAGCATCTGATGTCATAAAGAGGAACTCGAGCGTCTCGGCGCTGTCGGTCCACTGACCTCCAGCAACAGCGCTCTGACCTTGAAAGGTCCCACAGTTGCTTTCATCCCAAAATCCAGGTCCATTTGCTGCAATCTCCACAGCCATTCGTGACTAGAGATAAAGCGGGTTATGTCCAGGTAGGGCGTCAGCCCATAAAATCATAATAATCCTCAATGTTATCCTGTTGAATTCTTGAACGATCGAGAGGAATCACACCAAAATGACTGTGGCATCTTCCCCTGGGAGCTCGGGACGGAGGCTACAAAGCGATATCGCTTGATTCACTAATTCCGATTATTTACAACAAATGCAATCTCTTAGAACAAAATTTGATGACGGACGATGGACATCAGTTGGAGAAGAGGTGAAAATTGGCAGAGTGTGTACAGCTGACGGAGTTCAATGCACAGCAGTTTTGAGGTATGGAGTCAGTCCGACAGTGTCTGAATGCCGTAGAAGGAGAGTATGGAATATAAAGTCTGGAGGGAAGTTAGCGCGAGCAGCAATATGGCGGCGAGGAGTGAAGCTATTTTCCAGGGCTTATCCAAATGGGTCTCCACGAACTCGCGGAACATTCGCTTCCTCCTCCTTTTATAACACTGCTGCACATCCCTGCAGAACTTGACGAATCCAGGAGAGTCTTCCGTTCTCCAAGTGCTTTGGCAGAGATCGTTGATCATTTTTGCCGCAATGCCAGCATCGCCCAGGGTGTTGAAGATCACGTAGTCGTCTGTGTTCCCACACAAAATCACAGCGTCTTCCCTCGTGTCCACCAGCTGGTCCAGGAGAATCAAATACTCCATCAGCGGCTGCCACTCACGGTTCATCAACGACTGGTGCCTCATTTCTATCAAGAGCAAATTCCTCAACGAGTTCGCACTTTCGAGCCAAATTTCGAGCTTCGGGATGCACAATGTGTCCGTGAATAGACCCTGCTCCACTTTGTAGTCCCAAATCGTCGCATCCTTTAAGCCTTTCACTGCAATGCCAGCCTTTCTCAGCTGCGAGGCTGTCGGAATGAAGTGAGAATTGCGCCAGCGATCTTCTGTAAAATCCTGCGACCTCGAACGGAAAGCAGAAACTAAGCGCCTCGGGAAAACGGATTGCAGGCTGCGCAAGTAATTCATCAGCTTCAAAAAAAAGTACGGAGACTCTTCTCTTCGATCCTGTTTGATCAATGCACCGACCGAGCGGGTGGTATCACTACCAGACGGACTATTGTCATCACCATCAGCGTATGATGTTCTACATTTGGACGACACCATTCTGTACACCAAATCCAGCAAGTGATCAGAGCTCACGATCTGAGATCGCGGCACGAAGTTGTCACTGAAACCCTGCAGCCCAGCTTCCGCCAGGACAGTTTCTAATACCGATGACAGAAGCTCATACACCTCCGGGTGGAAAGCTTCTGCGCATACAAGATCCACCTTCTCATCGACATCGCAGTCCACGGACGAGGAATCGTCGTCAGAGCTCGGGTTTATGACCACCACGCCGTCGAGCTTCGGGGTCTTCCTCTTCGCATGCTCTCTGTGTTCGCCCTCGAGGGCCAGAGCGAGCGCGTTCTGGATCAGCACGAGAGGAATCTGATTCTCCATCAGCAGAAAGTCCTGCATGGTACCTTCCACTTTCCAGATTTCGATCTCGTCCGGATCGAGCGCCTGGACCTGCGAGAACTTGCGCCCGATACTCTGGAACAAGCAGAGCATGTACACGGCGTCGATCGCCAGCAGGTGGCGCACGTCGTCGTCCGTCATGTCGGACGGTGCGTCCTTCCACAGAAGACGCACTCGCGAAGGACTCGGGACGACTCGCGCGCTCAGGTCGTGCCAGCTGAGCGAGCTCAGTCTGAGCTGAAGCCTGCGCGCGTTCAGTCTGTTCACGAAGGCGATGGCGGCCGCCATTCGGCGCTTCTCAGCCGCAGTGGGGGATTGCAAGTCGCCTCTGTTGTAGAGGCCTAGGCGCATGCCCACGGGGTCGTACCTGAACTCTTCGGGCTTGAAGTCGCGAAACGCAAGAGGAGCTCGCATGATCGTCGTCTTCACGGCCGCCCTTCCTCCCGCTCCTGCACCCGCACCCGAGTCCGCCTTCCACGCCATCTTCTCCGCCACCCGCTTCAGCTCCTCGTCTATTCGCGTCCCGTGCGTCCATCTCTCTTCTCTCTCAGCAGCCAAAGGCGAGCTGCGAACATTTCCCTCTTCAAAATCCTGCGCCGCCATTTGTCCAAATTGCGAAAAGCGACGACGACGACGCCTCGAGCTCCAGAAGCTCCACTCCAACTTTGCTCAGCTCAGCACTTCCAAGATTGGGCCCGGCTCTCGTCTCTTGCGGATTGCTACGAGAATCACATTCTTTTACATCGTCGTGTTCAATCTGAAAATCTCGAGAGGGTAAATTCATTGTACTGCTCGAGAATGTGGGAGGAGAGAGGAGGGTAAGGGAGAGAGGGAAACAAGACTGAGGTCGGACTAGTCGACAACGGACTAAAGGTAGGCTCAGCGTTGGTGCTCGCGCCAGAGCCTGCCTGGAGCTTCAGCAATGAATGTCAGACATGTTTGGAGAGTCGTTATTTGTACAGTGCGTACAGTGCTCGATCTTCGCAGAGGCGCATGCATTATGATGCACGTGCGAGCCTCGAAACGTCTCTCTCGTAGTGCACGGGTACCCTTGGCACCGGGTACGGCCCCATTCTGAACCTGATGCTGATGCGGTTGCGTTGTTCTGCTGCCTCGCTCGCTTCAGACATTCATCTCCGCGATCGTGAACGCGATCCCGGCTCGGAAGTGGCAGCAAATATTCCAGCGTCTGAGAAGTCCGCCGAGAAGAAAGCATTGATGATTTGGCATCTTTCAGGTCAGTCTAGAGCCTGGTGGGAATGGAACTGAGCTGGGCTGCTGAATGTAGGTCTGATCCACGTACTTCGGAAATCGCATGCAGTTCTCACCTTTCCAGGGCGATCGAAGTGCTCACAGTTTTGCAGTTTGAGTTTCTCTGACAGGTTTGAGAGTCATGTCCGTCCTTTCAAGAGAATCCTCCTGATGCACGCCGAGCTTGCAGTATGTACGCTACGGACGGTACTCGCGTTGGCAAGGCGATCGTCGTTTCCGACAGCGTTCGTTGAACGGGACTTGGATCCCGTCAACTTGTGTTGCAGTGAAGATGAGGTCCTGCTTATAAATAGGGACTAGTCCCGTCATCGTTGAATAACAATTGTGATTCATGTTTGACCGGTTATGATGCAGAACCCATCCAGTCGGATAGATCACCATCGAATAAATTGCGTAAAGGACCTGGAATACCCTCTAGAAGGCCTTCCATGAAGGAAATCAGAGGAGTAAGATTGGGTCAGCCCCTACAGCTTCGCAATGTGAAATGCGTCCTACGTACTGCAACTAAGATATAGAAAAGTGACACAAACTGCTTCGTGAGATTTTGTGCGACCAGATCATATGCTCTTGGAGAAAAACTTGTCTGACCTCAGAGTAGGGTGCGAGGACCTCATCAAGAGAGACTATGAAATACATTGGACACGAGAACATCTTTCAAAACTCTTTTTAGTAGTAGATGCTCACTAAATATCAAGTTTTCCACTACTCCATAGATCTACGAAATACAATCAACAAAACCGTCTCGTCTTAGTATGATTCATAGCCAAAATGGAAAAAGCATTATTGCTTGTCCATATCACACACCAAAGGGGTTGAGAACTCATCAAGAGAGACTATGAAATCTATAAAACACAAGCATTTTTTTCAAAACTCTTCTGGGAAGAAATTCTCTGAATGTCAACCTCATTTAATCCATTGTAAAATGAGGTTGACATTCATTTTACAATGGGTGTAAATGCCAGGACTAATTTCACATCGCTCAAGACTAGAGAAAATGAATCATAAAGTATCATGGCATATACATCTCATTCCGATGCCATCATGACTTTGGCATTTATCGATATAAATGCCATGACCATCTTGAGTTCAACTTGGAGAAAGCAAAAATCATCATAGTTAGCATTAGATCTGAGTTTTCTTTCTATTAGACAAATCTAATGTTGAACCAGTGAAGTGTTATAGATAACTAGACATTTATTTTTCCCATGATTACAATTTGGCACATTGCATGCAAGAAAAAATAGTAATGGGTTACAAAGCTTTTTATTCATTCTTAAACCTATGTAAAAGAGTTTATCTTGTGTCTTGGGAGCTTTAAGAAGTTTTTATTTAAGAGTTTAGTGTTCACAATGATTTTATAAGAGATTCAAATGTGAAATACTGCTTGTAAGAAGATTGTATGGTAGCAAATGAAGAGGATTCAAAAGATACTTCTTCAAGAAGAATTGGGATTGAAGAACCAAACCCCTATGCTATTCTACTTGAGTATATAGGTTATCTTCTTGTTGAGGCTGAATCTCTTTATTTGACCATCACTTACATTGCTCATATTATATCTATCTGTACTTCTCGAGTTCCTCACCAAGCTTTACGAGTCACACTCTTCGAAGGTTGTTATTCTAATGTAGTGGCTTTGTACTCACAATGTAATGTGGCGGAACCAAATTGGAACTTGCAACCTATGGCTCTTTGCCAACCTTTACAAGAGAAAATTCTCAACATTCTTTGCCGCAAACCCGCCACCAAAATGGAGTTCTATTAACTTCATGTGAACCCTATGCTTGTTAATTATTAACAAGGGTATCTTCTTGCGGAAATTTTTACCTTCTTGCGTCATATTATAGCATGGCATAGAACGGGGTTTCATAGTCTACACATTGAGTAAGTAGGTTGGCATAATATTAACAGAAATGAACAATTTCGCCTTTTATGTGACGGTTGTAATATTGAGTACGAAGAGCATGTGTTTGTTACTTGTACTATATTTATTGGTATTAGAGTTGCTCATAAGGTTGTTGCACTAAATTTATATTCTTTATTGCAGCTTGAGCCTTACCATTTATGTTATTACTTTAAAAATATTATATGTTTTTGTTCTAATGCTCTATGCACTAGCCAATGGTTCACTCCTTGACAACGAGTGTATGATTTGTTTTTGCCTTTTGATACGTTGTATCCGACGAACTAGATCTATTACTAATATCATTACCATAACCATATGATTTTGATTGAGTATTGAAATTAAAATTTTCAATCATGCATCTATATACTAATCTACCACTAATATATAAACAATTAAGGCTTTTTATGTCGAACAGAATAAAACAAATATCATATGTTACTTTATTTAAAACTATATATTTGGATGTCAATATTGATGTTACAAAAATATATATTAAATATTTGTATGTAGACAATAACATATGTATAATTTCATTCATACGATGAAATTGAGATTAATTGCGTAAGTAAATCAGTTTAAACAATAACTTGGGTTATAAAATGTATGTTCAAAGATATTTAATTGATTTGATATGTTGGTTGTATTTTTTGAACTTTTAAGTTTATGACTATGACAAAGATGGATAGGATAAATCAGTATATTTGTGAAGACAACAAATTTAACTAATAATTTTTTTCCTTTTTAAAAGATATTTTTTTGCATGTATTACACAATTTCAACATACATAGCAGATTTTTTACAATTTATGTGTTGCAATGTTTTTTGTGGCATCAAAATATATTATCATAACACTTGATAATGAGGTCATATATCTGTCTACATATATCATGAAATGAACATACAAAAAATTGCATGTTATGTTTATTATATTTTTTCTCTCCAATCAGTCAATTTGTGTTTTATGACTGACTTCAAGTATAAAATGTTTTTCAATGCATAATTTTTGTCATACAAATCATTATTAATTGGTTATTCATAAATTTATAACATAACTAGAATATTTGAAAATTTTCTAAATTCATGAATTGAACATTTTTTACATAACATATATTCAAAAATATCTAATTTTTATAATTGAAAATGTATTAAACAAATTTTAGATGCAGATATGCATACATATAATTTATTTGATACAAATTGCGATGATATCAAAATATTCATTCACATTTGCGTACGAGATCTGTCTATCCATCAGACTAACAAATCTACTGTAATGCATTTAGATTATTTTATAGAATGAACATGTTTTGCTTTATATTTCAATGACATTCACTTATACTCCTGCATTTAATTATTTTTGTGTGTAACTTAGTTTCATTCACTTTCTTGATCAAATCAAAATGCAAGCTTGTGCATCTTGATTTGATTATGCTTAAAGTCTTTTTAATCTCAAAATGTATGTTTTAGATTGATGATTTGATATTGTTTTTCAAATTTAGCATGATAAGTGCCGGTGATACCTGTAATTATATCATATATATATTTTGTCTCTACGTACTATGTTATTAATCTACACTTTTTACATATATACAATCATAATTACAATGTTTTGAAAGAACATTTCTCAAGGGTGAACCCTAAGTATATATTTTCATATTCAATCTGCGTATCACATGAGAATAATCACGTTTGTCGATGCTTCTGGTGGAACGTTCAATCAAGTGAATTGAAATATCTCAGTAACAAACGACAAATTTGATATTCAGCCCTAGTTCAGTCTTCCTCCATTGGTTTCATCACAGTGCAACTTGATGAGATCATCCATTTAAGAATTCTAATAAAGAATCATCGTTTTCATTTCTTATATGGTCTACAACAGAAACAAAACTTTTATGTGAGGAAGAATCATTGTACTTTATTTTAAAGTTGACTCCGGAATAAAACAGAGACTTACGCATCTATTCGAATATGTAGAACCCATTATAGTTGAAAATTATTTATGAGAGTTCAGCTGGGAAAATGCATCAAAACCGCTATTCTTTACTTTTATAAACTAGAGTGAGGCATAGAGCAGAGCGCCTGTCTTGATCAAACACTTGACTAATGTATAACGTGAATATCTCCTTGTGCATCTGCTTTGTCACTTTGCAAGCCTCCAGATATGCAAACGGCCAAGTCTATCACCGGTCTCTCTGTTCATCGCCGTTCTAGCTCGCAGAAATCTCCTTGTCACTTCCGACCTTCCAGAGTCTGTCCCACCTGCTACAAGTGCAACACGGGC